CCCTGCCTCTCTCTCTCCCTCCCTCCCTCCCTCCCTCCCTCTCTCTCTCTCTCTCCTTCCCTGCCATGCACCAGTTACCTTCCAGAGGCTTTCTGTTGATGGTCCCCTGTGACCCATCCAAGGCAGTTCTGGGTCGCACAAGGCCTTCGTTCCTTTAGCAGCTTCTGAAAATGCTTTTTGATGATCTCTGTGGTTTCCAAAAACTGTGCAAAAGCATGCCCCATTCTCACACCCCATTCTCATGTGACCCAAACCCTAACCTATTCTTGTGCGGCCAGTGAATCCTCCAAAAACCATGCAAGAACAGGGGATACTGTTGAGAATAGCTGTTGTTGGGTGTTGGTGAATCTGGTGCATCACTCAAAATGTTGTGGTGTGTCACCTTTGACATGGGCGCCATAGGTTCGCCATCACTGGTCTGGAGAGAGAGGTCTGGATTTGAGTGGCCTTGCTTAAACTGAGCAACAACATATTTAAGGCCTACACCAGCGATGGCGAACCTTTTAGAGACCGAGTGCCCAAAACCTGGCCCCGCCCCCGCCCCACCTACCTGCTCCGCCCCCACTCTGCCCCGCCCAGAGGACCACTCACCACCTCCAGGGCCCGCAGATCACCAAGGCAGCCCAGCAGCGCTATGGCGGCCACACCCTCTGCCTGAGTCCTGCAGCATCAACTGCATGATGGGGCGAGAGGGCGGAGTCTTGTCTACACTGCCTGGCTGCCATGTCCTTGGCTGCGCTGCTCCATGTGGGCCACACTCGAGGGCAACTCTCCTTCAGGGGGCTGCTGGAGAGGAGGGGGTCACAGGGGAAGGCAAGGCTGGGGCAACGGCACTTGTGCCCACAGAGAGGGCTCCGAGTGCCGCCTCTGGCACCCGTGCCGTAGGTTCGCCACCACTGGCCTACACTGAACCATAAATGGATCTGCCATAATAATAGTTCACCTGTAGAGTTCAAACGCTTCCTTTGTGTGTGCACTTCACTTTGTCTCCTTTTCCATATTTGTTTGAGCTGGAGGCCTAAAGCAAAATGGTGGTGATTTTCATAACATCCTGGCTTGCAACTCGGGGCCTAGATAAATATGCATTCAAGAAAGAGATGATTGGATTGTATGGACACCACCCAATCATCTCTAAGCCTCCCTTCAGATCTTTTTTTATCTGGGAGTTGAAGTTCAAACATCTTCAAGATTCTGAGGTTGAGAAACACTGGCCTAAAACCATGTTAGCTTAAAGACTCTGTGGGAAATTAAAAGGGCTGTTGAGTTTCTGCCTCCGGTTGCTCATCAAAAGGCCGATCCAGGGCAAGTATCATTCTGTTAGTTTGCATTTAGGAAGTTCATTGTGCATGCAAATGTTTGTAATGTTTGTCATAATTTTTGATGTCACTTGTCATAATCTATTTGCGAACCTCACAAGTGTTTCCAAATTTGAGGAGAGTACCGCTAGTCCTCAACTTACAACAGTTCATTTAGTGACCGTGCAAAGTTACAACAGCACTGAAAAAAGTGATCTATGACCGTTTTTCATCGCTATGACCCTTGTAGCATTCCTGTGATCATGTGATCAAAATTCAGCTGCTTGGCAACTGGATCATACTTGTGACCGTTGCTATGTCCCAAGGTAATGAGATTCCCTTTTGCGACCTTTTGACAAGCAAAGTCAGTGGGGAAGCCAGATTTGCTCAACAACCGGGTTACTAACTTACCAACTGCAGTGATTCACTTAACAACGGTGGCAAGAAAGATCGTAAAATGGGGCAAAACTCACTTAACAAATCTCTTCTCAACAGAAATGTTGGACTCAATTTTGGTCGTAAGTCGAGCACTATCTGTAGTTCTCGACGTCTATCTACAATTGGGATTAGAATTTCCATTGCTAAGCAAAATGGTTAAGAGTGTGTCACACCTGATTTTATGACTTTTTTTGCTATGGTTATTAAAACAGTTTTTAAGTGAATCACGCAGTGATTAAGCATTGACTTTGCTTGTCTGAAGGCGGCTGGGAAGGTCGCAACTGATGATCACATGACTCTGGGACGTTGCATCTCTCTTAAAAACATGCCAGTTGCCAACCCCCCAAATTTGGAGGACATAACTGTGGGGCTGCTGCAACGGTCATAAGTGTGAAGACCAGTTATAAGTCACTTTTTTCAGTGGCATTGCAAGTTCAAACACTTGCTAAACAAGTAGTTGTAAGTTGAGGACTACTGTACTCCAAAGGCCCCATTTGTAAATCTTCTACATAGTGTGAAAGGTTGGTGTTTTTAATGGAAGGCCCAAAAAAAGTCAATGTAGAGGAAGACGATTTTTTTATTTGGGTGAAGATTTAGAGACAAATATTGCCATGTCGCCCCTTTTCTAAAACTTGATTCTTGATTCTTTTCGGTTAAGATCTTTCAATTTTGTAGCTGGAGGAGCTGTGGCGTTGTGCAGTGAGCCAGAACACACAATTGTGGTTGATAATTTGGAAAGAGCTGGGTCCTGCGTGAGGCGATCTGCGCTGTGATTGGCTGCTGTGGGTGTGGAGGGGGAGTTTCCCTTTTTCCCGCCTTTTTTCTTCTCTGTGCCTTGTACGCTCTGTGATTTACCTCACGATTCTCCCATTTGCCTGACTATCTACTGTACTGTAAATATAGATGTTAAATATATTTATTTATGGAAAACTACAAGTTCTTGTCAGCGTCTCTGACTCCATTTGGCTGCTCAATTCCCTGACATTTTCACTCTGTCCTACAGGAGGACTTATTTGTCGTGCTCTGCTCTCTACGATGCCCGACCACAATGTGGACACCTTCATCTCTCTCTCCTCCCCGCAAATGGGGCAATATGGGGGTAAGCAATGAAACAAGAATAAGGGACACTCTGGTGACATTTGTGTGGGACTTTGGGACACAAGACTGGAGTGTAAGGGGAAAAGGAAAAAACAAAACAAAACCAGGGACTTAACTCTTTTCGGCGCAACAGAATAACAAGTACAGTTACAACCTCAACTTTTTGTTTTACATTTCTGATGGATACCGGCCATTTCTTTAATAGCAAAGTATAATATTTCATTTCCAGTATCTTTTCCCTTATCCTATTTGGTTTACCGTTCATGTCTCACCAATCCAAAAGTTTCATTTTTGCACCTCCATTTTTGCATTTGTTTCTATTATATTTAAACATGGGTTTATATAGGCCAGGGGTAGGCAACCTTGGCTCTTTTATGACTCGTGGACTTCAACTCCCAGAATTCCTGAGCCAGGCTGGCTCAGGAATTCTGGGAGTTGAAGTCCACGAGTCATAAAAGAGCCAAGGTTGCCTACCCCTGATATAGGCAGTCCTAGTCCTACGACCACAATTTAGCCCGAAATTTAGGTCGTGAAGTGAGACATTTGTTAAGTGAGTTTTGCCCCATTTTACGACCTTTCTAGCCACAGTTCTTAAGTGAATCACTGCAGGTGTTAAGTTAGTAACACGGTTGTTAAGTGAATCTGGCTTCCCCATTGACTTTGCTTGTCAGAAGGTCAGGAAAAGCTGTTCACAAGACTCCGGCCCACTGCAACCGTTGTAAACATGAACCAGTTGCCAAGCATCTGAGTTTTGATCACATGACCATGGGGATGCTGCAACGGTTGTTAAGTGTGGAAAATGGTCATAAGTCGCTTTTTCCAGTGCCTTTGTAACTTTGAATAGTCATTAAACGAACAGTTGTAAATTGAAGAATAACTGTATTTACTCTTATACATGTATTTATATTTATATTTACATTACTAAGATGGAAATCACTGGAATTTTGACAGCCCTAGCTTTTCCAACTGGTGCCACCTCCAAATAGATGGGATTTCAGCTCCCAAATTAGCTGGTGTCATGGTTCCGACAGATGAAACTCTTCTGGTTCCGACAGATGAAACTCTTCAAAGAACTTTGAGGCATTGTTTACCTTAAATAATCTTTATTCGAGCAGCATAGCATCGGCATATACATAAGCGAAGCCAAAATCTGGATTCCTCTCCCCTTACAGTGTTTCTCAACCTTGACAATTTTAAGGCATGTGGACTTCAACTCCCAGAATTCCACAGCCAGCATTGCTGGCTGTGGAATTCTGGGAGTTGAAGTCCACATGCCTTAAAATTGTCAAGGTTGAGAAACACTGCGTAACACATAGTATCAAACACAATTCCCTCCTCTAATAATTAACAGTCATAAATCACATTCTCCAATTAGTTTGAAATGCAGGCTTCCCTCCTGTTCTCCAATCCGCCATTTCTTATCATCTCTTATTTCAAAAGCCCTGAGTTCACACACTATTACAATATTGTTATGTCTAACTAACTCCCACCACATTCCGCCTCCTCCCCCAGAATCATCTAATTCTAAGAGTAAAGCATAAGAAAGAAAAAGGCTGCATCTCCATATGTTGTCAAAGCAAGAACATCCAATGTTAGCAGCGTTGACAGCTGGCATGCGTAGAGCTATTTACTTTGAAAAGGAGCTAAGATTAGGGATGGCTACCCCAATTAGTTGTCATATGTGCTTTAGCCTTCCCAAAGGCATACAGGTGGTCCTCAACTTATGACTACAATTTAGCCCCAAATTTCTGTTGCTAAGTGGGTCGTTTGTTAAATGGGTTTTGCCCCATTTTACAACCTTTCTTGCCACAGTTGTTTATTTATTTATTACATTTATACCCCGCCCTTCTCCTGGTGGACTCAGGGCAGCTTACAGCCAGTTTAAAACAAAACAATCAATACAATATACAAAATTTAAAAAATGTAGTTAAAAAGAAATATTAATATGGGCCTTTTCTTCCTTTTTTAAAAGTTATTTAAAAACCAAATTTAAAATACCCCTTAGGCCAGTCCTGCCAGCTGAAATAGCCATGTCTTGAGGGCGCGGTGGAAGGAGGGGAGATCCGGAATCACCTGGATCTCTGGGGGTAGTTCGTTCCCGAGGGTTCCAGAGGGTGGGGGCTCCAACAGAGAAGGCTCTCCCCCTGGGGGTCGCCAACCGACACTGTCTGGTTGACGGCACCCTGAGGAGACCCTCTCTGTGGGAGCGTATCGGCCGGTGAGAGGTGATCTGTGGCAGAAGGCGGTCTCGGAGGTAACCAGGTCCGATGCCATGGCGCGCTTTAAAGATGATGATCAACACC